TCACCCCGAAACATCCCTTACTCTATCTCCAATCTCTTTTCACACTCATGCTGCACGTCCCCTATTTTTGTAATTTTAAAATCGTTTTTATCTCGTAACTCTGGCGTTTCTGCTCCTATCCCCAGCTCCGCCATCATCGGTTACCGTTCAACTACTGTCATTGGTCGTCTGTCTTTTCTGCTGTCATTTCATTCTGGCTTTGTCGAATGATGCTCACCGTATTTCGTGCGCACTTCCGCCGTCGTCTTTTATATGATTACATCTACCCCTTGATGACGCAGTCCGCTATTTTTTTGCTCATCCTTCTTTGCCGTGGTAGTGGCCTATTTCTTGCCCCTGTCACCTTACTCGTGGTCTGGAATATAATATGTTTGACTGTGTAGTCTGTCACCTTTTACTATCGTCGATACCTGTTGGTTTTGGCTAACTCCTCTTTTTTTTGTTTCGGCTCTTTGTCTATCTTCTAATACGCGCTCTGTGGGTTCCTATTCCTTTTCTACGCAGCTTTATGCTCATGTATCTCATTCGTATATATGTTTGGTCGGCCGTACGAAACCACACACAGTCACACACGTGCACACACGCACACACACACACACACACACACACACACACACACACACACACACACACACACACACACAAGAATACGAACACAGCACGGCAGCAGGGTGACGTACACTCATCTTGAGGAGGGAGCCCATGCCCATTGCGCCCTTCTGGCCAAGACCGTTCATGGGCAGGGCGTCCGGGAACTTGGGCAGCTGCTCCACAGGCGTCGACGGCGCCGGCGGCCGCTCGCCGGCTAACGGGGTGGTGATGGGGGCAGGGGGAGGAAGAAAGGAAGGGACGTGTTGTGGACGTATGTATGGGTGTGTGCAAGTGAGTGGAAGGGGATTTCACACAGGTGGGAAGAAAATAGTGAAAGCAATTTGCGAGCAGCGCACATGATCCCAACGCAATGCCTTGAGCACAATGCACGCATACAATCACAATCAAACACACATAGACACCCCCACACGATCACACACCCTTTGCGCGCGGTCCCTGGTAGATGGCTCCTGGTGGCGCCGATGCGTGGGGTGCGCCCTTTGCTGGCGGTGCCGAGGCCTGGGGCGCGTCGTATGGCGGCGGCTGCTCGCCAGGTGCGCCGGTCGCCTGCTGGCCTTGCTGCTCACGCATCATGGTGATGGCGACGGTGGTGGTGGTGGTGGTGTGGATGATGAAAGGGTGAGGACGAGCACTCTCAAGGGACGCAGCAATGTGCACTCATAAGCGTGTTCACACACGCACTCAAACACGCCCACTTCTCCAACCCACGCTCACTCAAACACTCAAACACACATACACACTATTCCACGCACCATTTGGTTTGCCATGGCCATGAGACCGCTCATATCGCCCAGGCCGCCACCTTGCTGCTGCTGCTGCTGCTGCTGCTGCTGCAGTGGGGTGAGTGGTGATTCGAGGTCGTGAGTGATAGGAGCGCATGGAGTGCAGTGCAGAGTACAAGGCATGGTATGTATGACGCTCACACAAATGAAAGGGAAACCAAAGTCGTGTCACCTTCAGCAGGTATGACACGGAGTGAGCAACAAGCGCAGAACATGCGGGTGTGCGCAACAGGTCAACAACGGGGGCAACACAAGGCGTTGCGCTCACCATCTGGCCAGCCATCTGCATGAGGCCGCCAAGACCACCCATGCCGCCGCCCTGCTGCTGCTGCATTTGCTGTTGCTGCTGCTGTTGCTACACACACACACACACACACACACACACACACACACACACACACACACACACACACACACACACACACAAGCGAGAAATACAGAAACGGGCATCAGCGGGTGCAGAATGTAGATGCAACGAACGCGCCACACCACTGAGCAAAACAGTCAAGCAGAAAGACATGTGCTGTTGTGCACGTGTGTCCCATAACAGATGCGCTCACCATCTGGCCAGCCATCTGCATGAGGCCGCCAATATCGCTCATGCCGCCGCCCTGCTGCGGGGCCTGGCCCTGTTGTGGAGCGCACGCGGCCGTTGTGAGCAAGAGCAGAAAGTCAAAACAAAGTTGTCTGAGTGAACATCGCGTTCCAGACCGGAGCAAAGCTGCACTTGACACACGCTACGATGCAACACAGGCAACGACACCATAGATTACAAACACCACACGGACACACACACGCACGACACGCACACACACCACAGAAACGCAACAAAGGTGTACCTGGGCGAGCTCGGAAAGGGCCGAGACCCAGCCGTCGCGATCCTGTGGGCTGGCTGCGTAGAAGTAGAAGGTGCGCATCGTGCCCTTCCAAGGCGTTGTGATCTGTGATTCAAACCGGCAGAGAAGATCACAAAGCAAAACAAGGGCGCACATGGTGTTTGTGAGTGGAATCCATCAAATATACGCGAGGTGGGGAGGGGGCAATGTGGAACCCGCACCAGACCAGAGAATACATTCTACCTGCACCGATACAAACAAAAAGACAGGCAGGCAGGTAGGCACAGACACAGACACAGACACAAGACACACACACAGACAGACAGACAGACACAGACACAGACACACACCTTGAAGGCATTTTGGGCGACTGGTTGCTTGGGCTTGACATAGGGGCCGAGAGCATTGTCGTCAATCTTGGACGACGGCGGGACGGCGGCCACCGTGCAGGACTGGTTGATGTAGATCTGGCCCTTGGTGCCGCCACCGCGCGATCCAGCATAGGCAAGCACATTGCCCTTGAGAGTGAACCAGCGCTGCTGCCACTTTCCACTCATGTACCCTGTGACATCGCGGCATCAACGTACAACAAGCAAATGGGTGCCGTGAGTACAGAACATCATCAGTGCGATCGAAACAGCCACGTGTGGTCGAGTGTTGGGTGTGTGTGTTGTTGGCGATTGTTGTTTATTGTGTGTTTTGTCTTTGACAGCGCTGTCACAAAAGCAAGCAGGCGTGCGCATCCAATTTACCGAGCTTGGTCAGCGCTCCCTCACGGGCAGGCGGCTGCATGGAAGAAAGCACACTGAAGGGGTCCTGAAGCGCCTTGAACGCCATTGTTGGTGGTGGTGAGTGGAGTGTGGTGTAGGTTTGGAGGGGGGAAGAGTGCGCGACAGGCTGGCTTTGGAGTGGAGTGCAAACAAGAAGAAGAGTCCAGCTGGGTACTGAAAAGTGACGGGTATCATTCATAACATTCGTGCCGTGAATTGCGCGAGGCAAGCAACGTGACTGGTGGCGTGCTTGCGCACACACACACACACACACACACACACACATACGCACATACACACATACACACATACACACACACTCTCGTTCTCTGTCTCTCTGTCTCTCTGTTGCTCTGTTTCCCTCTTAATCGTGCACCGTGCACACATCGATACACACACACACACACGCACTCACACGGAAATATCGAGGGATGGAGCAGCAGGCGGCACCGGACTTGAGCAACGTGCGGCCCGTGACGAAGCAGACGTTTGAGTTGGACTTGACACACCTGCTGGACGGCAGCGATGAGAGTGGAGGCGAGGATGGTGCGCAGGACGCACACCAGCAGCATGTTGGGAGAGAGGACATTCAAGGAGACGACGCGTTCATTTTGAAGCCGGTGCTCTCGCAAGGGGAATGCGAGAGGCTGGTGCAGGAGACGGAGCGGCTCACATACACGTTTTGGAACCAAGCAAACGACACCACCACGTACCGCAACGCAGACACGGTCGAGGTGCTGGACCCGAAGTTGGCAGAGGCCATCTGGCAGCGCATCAAACACCTCGTTCTCGAGCGCATCACCATCACCCGCGATCAGGATCGCTGGGAGGCAGGTAGTCTCAATGGAGAGTGCACAATGGTTGCTTGCTTGCTTTCCTGATGGCTGACTGATCCTATCTCTGTCTCTCCGCTGGCGCACACATACACATGCACTCTCTACGTCACTCACTCGCTCTCTCTCTCTCACACTCTCTCACACACTCTCTCATTCTCTCTCAAGGGTTCGAGGGAACGTGGAAGGCGGTTGGTGTCAACGAACACCTCTTGTTTGCGCGCTATCATGAGGGTGGCCACTTTTCGCCGCACACGGACGGCTACACCATTGTCGACTTTAACAAGCGCAGCCTCTTCACGCTGCTGCTCTATCTCAACGACTGTGAAGAAGGAGGTTCGTGTGTGTGTGTTTGGATGTGTTGCTCCTGAGCAACTGCGCACGTGTATATTTGCATCTTTGTTTGTGCCACATCATAACACAACAACAACAACAACAACAACACACACACACACACACACACACACTCCCTGCATCAACAGGTGGCACGCAGCTGTTCAAGAAGACGGACACGCGCGAATATGTTGTGGACGCCGCCGGGCGCTTTCGCTGGGAGGACGCAATGAAGCTTGGCCGCGCACCGCCAAGCATGGGCACAGGTAGCATGTTCGTGTGTGTGTGTGTGTGCGTTTGTGTGTGTGTTGTGTGTTGCGGTGGCGTGCGTGTAAGTGTGTGAGCGTGCGCATGTATCAACATGTGAATGTGCGACCATATGATCGAGTGATCACTTACACACGTGATGTGTTCACTGCTTGCTCTATGTCTCCCTGACTGTGGTTAACATGATACAAGTCTCATGACTGCATGCTTTCGAATCGATCCTGACACTGACACACTCCCATGTCCATCCTTGTCTCAGCGCTTGCATTCTACCAGGATATGCCGCATGAGGGCGAGCCCGTGGGCAAAGGCTCCGTCAAGTACATCATCCGCACAGATGTCATGTATGCGCGCGAAGACCCGATATGCGACGAGCCAAAGGTGGGTAGCGCGAACGTGGTGGTGCGTAGCCTCGTGTGGGTGTCCTTGAGTTGATTGGTTGTTGTCACATGCTTGCAGCCACTCTCGCACGGTTCTTGCGTGCATCACCCTTTGCCTTGTTTCCCCCGCTCACACACACACACACACACACACACACACACACACACACACACACACACACACACACACACACACACACACACACACACACACACACACACACACACACACACACACACACACGCACACACACACATTCACACACACACACACACACACACACACACACACGATATGCAGGACCGCGAGGCGTATCGGTTGTTCCGGGAGGCGGAGGAAGTGGAGTCGAGTGGAGATGCAATGGGGGCGCTGAAGCTGTTCCAGCGCGCTGCCAAGATGAGCCCCGCACTCGCAGACGTGCTCGGGTTGTGACACGGGCTTCGCTAGCAAGAGAGCTAGCGCTTGTGGGAGGCGGAGACGTGTTGAGTTGGTTGCCACCGATGCGCATAAACGAACAACAACTGAATGAATTGCACTCACAAACACACACACACACACACACACCACATCCACTCACACACACACAGACACACACACACACACACACACAGACACACACAGACACAGACACACACACACACACACACACACACACACACACAACTGATGTGCTCGCGACGGCTGCAAGAGTACCTGCAGAGGGAGCAGGGCGACGTGAAGCGCATCTTTGCCAGTGCGGGCAGGCTTGGGCAAGGCACATATGGCGTGGTGTACAAGGTGAGGCACGGGAGCAGGGCCGCGGCGTTTGCACACGAGCGGGAGGAAGCGCGAAAGGCAGAGCAAGCGCAATGGTACGAGGCCGCCGAGGCAAGGCGAAGGGCAGCCCAGCTCGCCCGCGAAGACCCGCAACAGCAGCATCAGCAGCAGCAGCAGCAAGCACAGGCACAGCAGTTGGAGGAGCAGATGCAGGTGCCCATCATCGACTTTGGTCTGGGCACGAGCTCTACCCCGCCTGTCAGCAGCAACACGATGATGGCACGGCCGTCATCCTGGTCAGCGGGGACAGGGTCGCAGGAGGCGCCAGCTCAGCTGACGGACGTGCTTGCACACAACCCAGCGCCCATGGACACCGCGGCTGAGCCACGACCACACAGCGTTCCGGCCACCAGCGCCAGTGCCACGAGTACAACCACCACCGGCACGACGACAGCGGCGCCCGCTGAGAGTGGCTCTGATCCATCCACGGAACAGGACTCGGGGTCTGCCCCAAAGCCGGCTGCAAGTGGAGAGAGGAAGTCGGGCTTGCCGCCCATCTCCCACCCATCCTTCTCCATCTTTGTCTCGAATGGGTCCATGGGCCGCTCGCACAAACGCGGCAAACATCTCATCCCTTACGGTTCATGCCCCCGTTACGACGACACGTAAGAGAGTGTGTGTGCATGTGTGTGCATGTGTGCGTAAATGTGTGCGTGTGTGTGTGTGTGTGCGTGTGTGCATATGTACGTGTGTGTGTGTTCACTTGTTGGCATGTACTGTCCCTCATGCTCATTCCTCCTCGTCCGTGCTAAACACGACAGTGATCGCGACCCGCAGCGCTGGTACGCACTGAAGGCGATGCAGGCGCCAACAACCAAGAACCTCGACGTCTCCGTCCCCGCACTCCGCGAGTTCTCGGTGCGTGTCTATGTGTGTGTGTGTGTCTATGTGTGTGTGTGTGTGTGTGTGTGCATGTGTGCGTACATGTGTGTGTGCGTGTGTGCATGTGTGCGTGTGTGTGTTCAGGTGGGTGCCGACTGCGCCACGGCATGATGCCACTCTCGTCCCACCCTCTCGCCCTTCATCATTCTCTTCCTGTTCATCACCCCCCCCTTCGCCAACCACTCCATGTTACAGTTGCTACGTGAGCTGAAGCACAAGAACATCATCATGATCAAGGACACGTTCCTTCGCCCCACCGTGGACCCGAAGCAGATATGGATCCTCTTTGAATACGCGACCTTTGATCTCTGGGTACGTGCGTGCGCATCTGTTGTCAATATGGCAGCGTGCGTGCGCATGAATGTGCCGGCGCGCCCGTATGTCAACGTCCTGTTTTCCTCCCTTGCTTGCCTCAATCGCATGGGTACGCTACTGCGTTTGCACACATGTCAGCCTTTCGACGCTAACACACACACACACACACACACACACACACACACACACACACACACACACACACACACACACACACACACACACACACACATAGTACCTGCTGCAAACGCACCGCAAGGAGAAAGGGGCGCCGCTGCCCGAGGCGATGCAGCTGTCCATCATGCACCAGCTCTGCTCCGGCATGGCCTATCTTCACGACCACTGGATCATCCACCGCGACCTCGTGAGCTTTGGGGGGGGGGGACGGGTGGAATTGGGGTGCAGGGGATGCCGTTGGTTTCGTCGGCGTCGTCGTCCTGTGTGTGTGTGTGTGTGTGTGTGTGTGTGTGTGTGTGTGTGTGTGTGTGTGTGTGTGTGTGTGTGTGTGCGTGCGTGCGTGTGTGTGTGTGTGTGTGTGTGTGTGTGCGTGCGTGCGTGTGTGTGTGTGTGTGTGTGTGTGTGTGTGTGTGTAGGTGTGTTATTGTGTGTTATTGTGTGTGTGTGTGTCATTGTGTGTTATTGTGTGTGCGGGTGTGGGTTAGTGTGTGTGGTA